GTTGGAGAGCCATAGTGAATTGTTTTTGCTCAAGAATTTGGTGGAATTAGACTTTGAAAAGTGTCAAAAGTTAAAAAGCATTCCCTTGTTGAAAGGATTTTGCTCTCTTCAGCGGCTTCGTATTAGAGAATGCAGTGAATTAAGCAGAATAAATGATGGGGCATTCGAATTCACATCCCTGGAAGAACTGTCCATAGATAATTGTTGTAAGTTGGAAAGTGTTCTAGTAAATGGATTGACATCGCTGGAGAGACTGACCTTATGGTGCTGTCCAAAGTTGGAAAGTGTTCTAGTGAGTGGATTGACATCGCTTCAGGAACTACAAGTTAGCAATTGTCAGTTGGTGAGCAGCATAGGAGATAGCCTATCAACCTCCAAGTGCCTTCAAAGGTTAGAGTTACAGTGGTGTGAGAATTTGGAATTTTTTCCAAGTCTAGAGGGGCTTACCTCTCTTAAAAGCGTAGTGATTGATGGATGTTGTAGATTAAAGTACCTACCAAGTGAATTGTCATCTTGCACTGCTCTTGAAGAGTTGCGCATATATCTTTGCACAAATCTGGTCTCTATTCTAGAAGAACTGAAGGAATTGCGTTCTCTTGTTAAATTACAAATTATAGAGTGTGAAAAATTGAGGAGCTTCCCAAAGGACAGCCTTGGATGCCTTAATCGCTTGAAGAGCTTGTCAATTGGCGGATTCTCAAATGAGATGGAGGAACTCCCAGATCTGAGTTCCATCAACGCCTCCCTTGAAACGTTGGATTTGAGGGATTGGAGAACGCGTCAGTGGCTGCATCAAATTCAACGCTTTACTGCTTTAAAAGAGTTGAGTATAGAGGGTCCCATTGATGACGTGGAAGCACTGTCAGATGTATTGGAAAAACTCTCCTCTCTTACAGAACTCAGAATTGAGTGGTGCGACGACTTGATCTCTCTTCCACAAGGACTGAACAAGTTGCCCCATCTCAGAACACTCGGACTTGTTGGCTGCGATAACCTAACGTCTCTTTCAGAAGATCTAAAGGAATTGCGTTCTCTTACTACATTACGTGTTTTATTCTGTCGGAGATTGAACCCAGGGGAGATCCTCGGCTGCCTTACTAGCTTGAAGAGATTGGAGATTGGTGGTTTCTCAGAAGAGCTGGAGGAATTCCCAGGACTGAGTTCCATCCATGATGGCCTTGAAGAGCTGACGTTGATTGGATGGGACAAACTAAGTCAGCTGCCTGATCAAATTCAACACCTCACTGCTCTCAAGGAGTTGACCATAAGTTACTTTAAACAAGTGGTGGCTTTGCCAGAGTGGGTGGGAAACTTTTCTTCTCTTGAACGTCTGACGTTCCAGACTTGCCATAATATGAAACAACTGCCTTCCGCGGCAGCCATTGGACGCCTCTCCAAACTGTGGCTGCTTATTATTTGGGATTGCCCAGAGTTAAAAGAGAGTTGCGCCCAGAAACGTGGTTGTGAGTGGTCCAAGATTTCCCACATTCCATTAGTCAACTGCTGTTAAGCAAAGACTGAGGCTTGAAAAAGGTATGTATGTTCCATTCCGTTACAAATTCCCATGAATTAGTATATCCAATTCAAGGCAATGCTAATCAAATCCTTTAAGAATCAATTTCTTTATAAATTCACTTATGACTTATCAATTCGAACCAGATCTATTGATTTCGACTGCTTCCACTACAAAGCCCTTTGATCTGGGAGATCTCAGTATTGAGGTAAGCAGCATATTAATTGCTTGTACCCATTTCTTTCAAATTGTGAATGCATCACAAAGTTTGGACTTTCAACATTTGATCACTTAACCTACAAATTACACACCGTAACATATTTTATGGTTGCAGGCACCCAGTGATCCTTCTGGTATTCTTTCTAAGCATATCTTCTTATGAGTCTCATTAAGTGTTATTGCATTCACTGCGATATTCTATCATGGCATTAATTTAAGTTGGCAAGCTCTTATGGTAAATGAAATTCGCAGGCTTCGAAAATTCGGATCATACAGTGAATTATTGGGGATTCTCAATCTTTCCTTCGGCACCTAGAATC